ACCATGTTTGGTGCAAAAAATTACTATGAAATTATACTTTTAAGAAAGATTGAATGAAAGTTGTGCAAATTTTGAACGAGCCAATCAGGGAAACAAGCAGTTTAAATTCCAGACTTCCTCCTCAAATAACTGTAATGGCCGTAAGCCAATTTAGGTTGCTGCCAGGTCAACCAAAAGATAATGTAACTTTATTACAAGTTGCTATACAGGAAGTTTGTGTGAACAGAGCGGCATCCTATATTTCTTCAAGCCAAATTTTTGTATGTTCCTAACAGTTCCAAAAACAGGGTGCTTTTGATTTCCATCAGTTGCTGAAGCAAATGAACTTCACTGAAACTGCTGAGGCAAACATAAAATCTGAAAACAAATAAACAGGGGGCACATTTTAGCTTCATTTTATTATTTGATAGAAGAAGAAAAATGCCAGTTTGAAAAGTGTTACTCATTTTGTTATTCAATTTGCTTCAATTTTAGTAAATCATTTTATTACACAACTTATGTGGCCTGATCACTCTGCAGGTAAACATGGAACTGGATGTTGCAAAAACCACAAAACTGCCGTTATTCTCATTCTCTTGTTTTCCCTTCCTTGTTGTAATGTCTAATACAAAACAATGTGTGCACTTTCAGACGATTTTTGGTTGTGCAGTCACTCCATTCGGTTTAATTTCTCATCACCAGGTTTCCCAGTCTTAAGGAAATGTCCAGCTGCTCCTGGCTTAGTATTTTCTTATCAGACCTCTGGAGGGGAGGGGAGAGCACAGAAACAGCATTCATGGGGATGCTGGGGACAGAACAGTTAGCATACCCTTAGATAGTTGTTGTGGGTTTTTCGGGCTCTTTGGCCGTGTTCTGAAGGTTGTTCTTCCTAACGTTTTGCCAGTCTCTGTGGCTGGCATCTTCAGAGGACAGCACTCTGTACTCCACTCCCAAGCAAACTACACCAGAGCACAGAGTGCTGTCCTCTGAAGATGCCGGCCGCAGAGACTGGTGAAACGTTAGGAAGAACAGCCTTCAGAACACAGCCAAAGAGCCCGAAAAAACCCACAACAGCCATTAGATCCCAGCCGTGAAAGCCTTTGCGAATACATACCCTTAGATCCTCCCTTTTCATATTTTATGTCCCCACACATTCAGTTTGAACACCTGAATATGGATTACCAGAACTGCAACTCCACAATAAGGAAACAAACAGTTGTTTTATGTTTTTTATATATAAAAACTATTTTAAAAGCACTTATTACTGCTGAATCGTACCTCATTCTCTGAACTGTATCTACCAACAAACTGATTCTTTGCTTACAGTCTACATTTTAGAAAGCCAGACCTCTGTGAGGTATTACTGATCTTTTTTTAATTTTTTTGTCACATGAACCACATGGCTATGTTCATTTTTTGTTCAGGAAAAATACCCCAAATAGCCACACAGGAGAGGATCTAAAACCAGAGCCACCAGAGGTCCACCATTTCCCCTGATATCAGGATTTCCACGTTTGTGGATGCTTCTACTTGTAGCTGAAAGAGGAACTGTGTGGTTTGATAGAGAGCAATGACAGAGTTACAGGATGGCTGGCATCCCTATGTCTCTAGAAACAAATAAAGGCAATGGGTTCTGAATCCTTTGAGGTGAAATCTAATATTACCAACACACCAAGCAGAGATTCTTTATATTTGCAGTCCCCATCTTGGAAATGTGACTACACACCCTAATGCTTTAATATCTAGCCAGGATTATTTTTCATCTTTTCTGTTTCTTCTTTCCCCACCACAATCTCTGCAAATGCCTGATCTGACAAAGTGTCCTGAAAACTCATATGCTTATGGTATTTAAGTGGTTCAATAAAGATATTAAACACCTCTACTTCTGAACAGTACATATTCAAGAAACAAATGTTGAGGGATGAGAGGGGGAAAAAACACAATTTCAGAGAATAATTTATTTAAGATCACAACTGCACAGCATTGAAATGGAAAGCCCTTTGTTACCACTTTAGTTGTGCATGCAATATGGAGCAGCCAGCACAAGTTGAAAATAACACAGTACAAGTAAAAACACTAGACAAAATCCAGTTAGGAAAAAACGTGCACTGCACAAAATGTGCAGTTTCCTCCTCCTTCTTTGATGTCTCTTGCCCAGTTGCTGCAATTGCTTCCCTGATCAGAGGAGGTACAACAGCCATCCAGCAGTATAGGCAGCTCATTTGTGATTGCCAATGGAAACAGTTACAATAGTAAAAGTTAAATGATAATGAATGTTAACTTAAACACTATTGCTGAAATAACAAGAAAAAAAATGCTTGTGGAGGTGGGGGAGGAGGGGCAGAAACAAAAATATGTTACTTAAAAAGGAAAAATTTCCAAGCTCAAGATGAGTGTGCATCTATTAAATTTTGCTCAAGTTAGTGTGTGCATGCATGTACACATGGTGTGTGTGTGCGCGTGTGTGTGTGCGTGCATGCAATTTTGGTTTGTTGCATTTGCAGAGTGCTCACAAGTATACCAAGCTACAGTGGTGCCTCATATAACGAGTGCCCCGTTTAACAATGAATCCGCATAGCGATGGCTTTTTTGCCATCGCTTTTGCGAACACGTTGCGATGTTGCCTATGGGGAAAAATCGCTTTGCGATTTTTTCCCCGTAGGCCCCATTTTCCCCCAGCTGAGCGGCAGGAGCCTCCGAAGGACCACTCCT